CCTGAGAAGGGCAGGCGCTTCAAACATAGCTAAATTAACTTAGGCTGAAGTTATTAGATGGATCTATCCTCTGGGGAAAAGTCCATTGAATTGAATGTCACACAACCAAACCCTTACTTTTAATCCACAAACGAGGCGTAGCTACGTTAGCCCTAAGCGCTGGCACCTCAGGCTGCCACACACACAAGACATCAAAGGTTATCCAATCTTCTCAAATATGGTAGTGTTCTAAAAATAGGGGAATGATTTAGGAACTAAAGGAAGCAACTGAGTTAGTTGTTTATGACCTCTGAATAAGCCAGAGCATGAATTCAGCTGATAACAATTTGAAAAGGAAGAATTCAGCCTAGAGAAAAATGTAATCCATCATCACAATCATACTAACCTAAGCTAATAAATTAATGGAGTAGATGATCCAGGGTTCTATTCTATAGGAAAATCACAAAGAATTGAATGACATTTCTTGCAGACCATCAATAAAATTGGCTAGGTGTCTTTCGCAGGACAGAGACTTTTTTAATTAGAATTTTCTTTAAAGCATATTTATAATGTCCATTTGCCATATGTAGTGATAGTCTATGGAAGTAGTATTTGGGAATGGAATGTGACTTAAGAGTGATAGACAAATTAGTTATTTTTAGCAGGGTTCTATCTTCGATGGATTTATAAATATACTCCCTGCCATTAATAATCACTATACCATTAAAAAAAATCTCCATTTCTCCTTCAAACTAATTCATAATTCCCATTGTCCTTTTAGATTAATTCAAGGTAATGTCTCAGTTACATCACAGATAAAGACAATATGGCCACAACTTACATCTCTCTTCAAATATTTCAAGGACTGTTACACTGGAGGGTGTGTGTTTGTCCAGAACTAGGGCCCATGGATGAAAGTTTTAGAAAATCAGGTTGCAGAACAAAATACCAAAAAACCTTGTGTTGTTGTTTAAATGAGATTTGCTTAACCACAAACTGAGCTCTACTGTGAATCATCTCTTCTGGCAGGGGCTGCATCGCTGGTTATTTAAAATAGGACATGCAGGAGCCCGGATTTAAATGGATGTCTAGACTAGCAGCCCTTAGCATGGCCTTTCACACCATTGGGGGTTTACACTGTGGTAAGCGCCCTCACAGGTGGCTGTCACCTGGGGCTCTCTGGACCTGAGTTCTATGAAGTCAGATGACTCCCCACAGCCCGAGAGGGACCTGACACAGGCCTCCAGAGCTTCAGTGATGGGAGGTTTGTCCTATTTTCTTTGTTGGAGCCACTGTTTGTGACTGAGCACAACATGCTCTGTCAGCAGCATAGGTTAGCTGTTAGTGTGAAGAATGGTCCATCGTTCACGCTTCTCTGCCCTTAGGAATGGAACATGGAAAAGAACGTGTGTTCCAAGTGGAGGGAGAAGCATGAATGCCAGAAGTCACCCAAGCAATGTGCTTCTGAGGCAGTGGTAGAAGCTGCCATGGCTGTGTTGTAGAGGACCCGATGAGGGTGGAGAGGTGGGCTGAGATCTTTCTCCTCAGTGACTGTACGGTGTAGCCACATCAAATCAGTTATGTGGGAACAAGGAAAGCACTGTCCCTTGGCAATAGAATGCAACCTACCCCAATATCATTGTGCATGTACATCTCTTCCTTGAGCAAAGCCCCGTCCCGCCAAAAAAAAAACCCAGGTGCTGATCTGATCTGGACACTTCTCCTCCCCACAGCCTAGAGGTGACACTGATGGTAGAGTCCGTGACTGTCCTTCTGCCCCGTCTCTCTACAGTTCCCACCAAAGATGGCTAGGAAGCTGCCACCCTCTCCCAGAGAAGGCCAACTGATGAGGTACACTGTACACTGCAGTCTCCAGATCTATATCCAGCCACACGATTCAGGCATTATCCTTCTGGAACGTTCCCATAGACAGACTTGAGCAGGGACCTCCGTGGGATGTGCTACTCTGTCAGCGTTGTTCTCAGGACACAGCCTCACCTGGAGAGGGAGATCAGAGAGGGGGGTGTTCATGAGACAGCATGTCCCCTTCATACTGGAAGGGTTTTATCCTTGCTGTCTCCCCTGGGGTTGCTTGGAAAGGACATTCTGGAATGACAGATACCAACTTCAGCCTCACTCCTCCCCCCACCACTACTATGTTGCATCATGTGAGAGGGTGGGGAGACAGCTGTCTGCAATGCAGTCTCCCCCATCTATAATTAGGGCCCCTGCCCACAGCTGTGCATCACCCAGCTTACTGATGGGTGAGGAGAAAGCTTCCTCTGGCTCCCGCTCTTAGCCACTGCCACCGGACCAGTGTCTCATGGATGAGTGTGGATTTTCAGGGCCCACCCTTCCCTGTTTCTCAGAGCAGGCAGCTCTCCTGGGCCTTGGCACACAGGGCGCCCAGAGAATACCCTGAGTCCTGAGGAAAAGTGGATCAACTTGGTAGCTAGACGTTCTTGGTAGGCACAGGGTGGCCATCGGTGGTGCCATAGATATTGATGATTAGCTCTGGAAACCACACCTGGAAAAATAAGCTGAGTTTTATACTAATAAAAGTATAATTAGTTAGTATAATAAAAAGTATAATTAGGTAGAATTTGAACCCTAACTGGCAGATCATAATGTTAAGAAATTATTGTTTATTTTTTAGATGTACCATGGTATTATAGATATATTAAAAATGAGAGTGACCTTATCTTTTAGAAAGACAGGCCAAAGAAAGACAGGATGAAGTATTTAATAAAATGATAGGCTGTCTAGGGTTTATTTCAGTCTAATCTGACAATGGAAGGAGGCTGGGTACATACATAGGTGAGACAGGCTTGACCATTAGCTTATGATGGTTGAACTTGGGTGATGCAGGCTCAGGGTACACAGAAGTTACTATGCTACATTCCCTACTTTTGTCTGTGTTTCAAATTTTCTCTACTATGGAGTTTTAAAGAGTATTCTTAGTAAATAAGCAATCTACATGAAAGGTTTAAGAGAACTGAAATTTTTTTTAAAGGCTTTACTAAATAGCATTTTACTAGATGAATAAAAACAGAACAAAGTGTCCACATTACATGTTGAATTCAGTGAACCAAAGATTGCTTTTGGAAGACCTTTTGCTGTGAATTATAGGTAAGTGAAAACTTAGGCTGAGAAAATTAAAAATAGGTCACATACAAAGAAGTCAAAATCAGCAGTGAGGTCTTGAGTAGTGTATATTCTTTCTTGGCAATGATATATTAGATTTACCAGATAACCAAGATTGAACACCAAAATAAAGTAATTCATTTTCTAAAAAGTTTTGAGTCCAGTTCTTTCAAGAGGCAGAGGTATAGTTCCAAGTAACCTCCAAGTCTCCCAATTTGGTTTCTGTGTGAATGATAATATGAAACTTCTCAGATCATTTTTTTGTATTCTGCTGATGACATTTGGTTTAAAACATGAACATGCTTTATTATCAAAGGGGTTGGAAATACTCCATTTTAAATGAATGGTGTAGAGATGTGGCAAATGCAGAAGTGGATCCCTAGCTCTCAAAATGCAAGAGAACGGGGGAGAATGCAGTGAGCTGGTTATTCCATTCCAACTTAGAATTTAGATGTCTGTCACAGTCCAAATTCCTAGTATTGAATTCAGTAAAAACTGTGCCGTGGTTTTCATGTCACGCTTCAACTGCCACTGAGGAACTGAAACAGGAGGCTGATACTGACCATTTGAGCAAGGGCCCCAGCCACTTTCAGGTAGGGTCAGAGTCTAACAATGAACTCTTGAGTGCCTGCTGGGTGCTCAGCACTTCAAGAACATTATTGAATATAAACTTTTCAGCACTTCCATTATCTTCCCATTTTACAAATCAGAAAACCAAGGCACAGAGAGGGCGAGAAAGTCACCCGACATCATACAATTAATTAAGTCACTAAGCTTGGATTTAAAACCAGATCTTACTGACCACGGAATCCACATCTTTTGCCACACAAGCCCATTTTATTAAACACAACAAAAACAAATAAAATATATCACAGACTAATGTTTTCTCTGTCATCGACCAAATAAACACATACCCTTTGGTTGATTCATCAGTAAGTCATCCAACTATGTCCTTTACCCCTCACTGCAGATAACCTCTAGTGCTGTGAAATTCCTTTCCTTCCAGAAGCTCATTAGAGCTTCAATCTGGAATATTGCTTGCTTCACACACTTACGCGTGTGCGTGCGTGCACACACACACACTCATGTACACATGCACACGCATTAATTTTGTTTGGCTCAAAGTTAGAGACTAAGAGAAAAGAATCGCTGAAAAGGATGCCTGTGATAATGAAAAATAACTTTTGATTAGAATTCAAAAGGCAGACCAATCTAAGGCAAAATTGACTTGTTAATTTGCCAGAGAAACTATTTCCTGTCCAGGGAGGAAATAAAGCTAGACCTGCAGGTATGGGGGATGGGGGCAGGGGGAGTGTTACTCATGACTTGACAAAGTGGGAAAGGAGAAATTCCTTTCAGATGGGATCTTTCTTAGGAATAAGAGTAAAGGCTAATCTTTCCCCTGGAAATTCAAGCTCATTAGCTCTATGTCACCAGCCTCACATGTGATCACCAAGACTTAGCGTATATTTTTAAGTGAACTCAGTTACAATGTCCTTGAAGGACACATTATTTGGCTGGAACACTAAACACAATCCTCCCTTTTGAGAAGTGTAAATATCTACCCCCCTAACACCACCGGAACAACAATCTTATAGCTAATAATACCCTCCATGCAAAGATTTACGACAGTGCTTGGCCCAATATAGCCATTAATTAAATGGCAGCTTCTGCATAGCATAACTTTTTGTACTAGTTTACCAGAAGCACTTGAAAGTAAAATAAGGCATTTTGTTTTCAGATTTTAAAGCTCATATGGGTAGGCTACATTAAATCCAATTCAAGAGCTCTTTGTTTTTGGGTATCATATTATGTATTTCATGAAGATGCCACCTAGGCAGAACTGAGAGCCCCACCCCTTTCTCTGTGGAATCACCATGGTGGCTGGGACCCTGTACACATACCCTGAAAACTGGAGGGCTTCAAGGCCCTCATTGCTGCTCAGTACAGCGGGGCTCAGGTTGGCGTGCTCTCTGCACCCCACTTCCAATTTGGCCAAAACAACTGCACCCCTGGATTTCTGTCAATTTCCTGCTGGCAAGCTTCCAGCATTTGAAGGTGACAGCAGATTGTGCGTGTTCAAGAGCAATGCCATTGCCTCCTACATGAGACCTGAGGAGCTTCTGGGACGTACTCCAGAGGCAGCAGTTGAAATGGTACAGTGGGTGAGCTTTGCTGGTAGGGACATAGTGCTCCCAGCCATCACTGGCGTTCCCCGCCTTGGCCATCATGCACCATAACAAGTAGGCCACAGAGAAGGTAAAGGAGGAGGTGAGGCGAATTCTGGGGCTGCTGGGTGCTCACCTGAAGGTGGGAGAAGGACTTTTCTGGTGGGTGAGCCTATGACACTGGCTGGCATCATGGTTGTCTGCATCCTGCTGTGGCTCTATAAACAGGTCCTGGAGCCTTCTTTCCCCCAGGGTCCCCCAGTACCAGCCGCTGGTTCCTCACCTGCATTAATGGGTCCCAGTCCCAGGCTGTCCTGGGGGAGGCGAAAGTCTGTGAGGAGATGCCAAAACATTTGCAGAGGGCAGCCTAAAATGGACAACACACAGGAGAAAGATTCTTGGGCAGAGCAGCAGAATCCCCAGGCTGAGCGGGAAGAGGAGAGAGCGGGAGCTGCCCCCACATCCCAAGGAGAAGGATGGATGTGAGCAGGCGCTGGTGCTAAGCTGAAGGCCAAGGGCCCCTTTGCTCACCTGCCCAAGAGCACCTACCTCTGTGCTGGATGAGTTTCAGCTCAAGTACTCTGATAAGGACACACTCTCTGTAGCGCTACCGTATTGGCGGGGAGCAGATTGATAAGGATGGCTGGTCCCTGTGGTACGCCCAGTACTGCTTCCCAGAAGAGCTCACTCAGACTTTCATGAGTTGCAACCTCATCACTGGAATGTTCCAGCGATTGGACAAGCTGAGGAAGAATGCCTTTGCCAGTGTTATCCTCTTTGGAACCAACAAGAGCAACTCCATTTGTGCAGTCTGAGTCTTCCAAGCCCATGGGCCTGCCTTTCCACTGAGTTCAGATGGGCAGGTGGACTAGAGTCAGAGACATGGCGGAGACTGGATCCTGGCATCGAGGAGACCCAGATGCTGGAGGGAGGGTACTTTTGCTGGGAAGGGGCCTCCCAGCCTGTGGCACAGCCTTCAATCAGGGCAAGATCTTCAGGCAAGTATCTCTTGCAATCACCTAGTTGCCCGCACCTGCTCTTCAGGAAGATGGGGGTCATTAATGGAAACTGAACATTGGAAAAAAAAATTGCCACCTGTTGGGCTTAGTGTTTGGTTGTACTTTGTGCTGGGATTTCTCACGAATGGAAACGACCAATTGCTTTTCTATGTTGCTAGGCCATATGACATTCTTAGGAGTAGTAAATTCCCTCATTTAATTAAACATGTGAAAAGGACAAATGATGGCCTAGACTCATGCTCTGTCTCATAGACACCTCACAGTGCTATGAGGAGAGTAGCACAAATGTGTGATACCTAATTGCAATAAAAGAATCAAAGTTTATGCATTTCCTTCTGAAATGAGAGCAGAATTATGGTTTTTCATATAATATCACTCTTGCTGACATATTTTACTTCTGAATTTTGATTGATTTTAAATGATGAAATTCCAGGTCAAGGTGGCTTCAACAAAACAAACAAAAAAGGATTTATTATTTAACATAACTGAAGAGTCTTAGGGGAGTAACAGCTTCAGGTATGGCTTGACCAGGGTTCTAAAACTGGATCATGTGGACTCTAACACTCTCCATTTTCTAGTTGATTTCCTTTACGTTGATTTGATTTTCTCGTAGGAGCTCTCCATGAAGTAGCAAAACAGCTTACCTTACAATTTAGCAACACTAATAGAAAGAAAACCTTTTCTTTCCAATAATTCTAGAAAAATTCTGGGATTGAGTCTCACTGTATCAGCAAGGTCCATTCCTGCCTCCAAGGGGATAAAATATGCTGAGTTGTTAGATCACTCACTGGGAGGGGAGAAACTGGGTGGGTGTTGGATTTTCAGTCCCACTCAACTACTTAAGCAGAGAGTGAGATGATTTCCAAGAGAAAAGTTAAGATGTTTTTAGAAAAAAGAAAAGAAAAATAGAAGCCCAGCAGACAAAACCAAGAGTAGTCAACTCCATAGAATAGGGTGGAGTTTTAGCAAAAGCACTTATCAACTGTGCTTAACAGACAAACCTATCCTGGGTTTTATTCTCTTGCATGACAACACCAGCAATGACCTTATGGTGGTTATTTGTGGATTATAATTTCATAAATCCTAACAACTTGTTTTCTTATTGTGCTGATAGATACCGTTTGAATAAGGAAGAGAGCAAGCGGAAATGCAGAAAGAGTAAGTAGAATATCCATGTCCATAGCGACTCTAATGCCATTATGGTAAACTTTGATTAAATTTACAGCCAGGTTTTCTTTAAATGCCATCTATCATGCTTTTGAAAGCAATAAAAGTTTGAGAGCTACTCCAAGACCTCAGGTAGCCCAGCTCTGCAGAAGGAAGCTTCTAGTCCACTGAAGATTTTTCTGGCTGCTTAGTTTATGTTGTTTAGGTTTATTTTGGAATTTTTCCTTAGAGTTTCAACCTATACTAGCATATAATGCAGAAATTGCCAAGAATATTATTGATATTAACAATATAATGTGCAGAAAGATCTATGCTTCAAAATGAGGGTAGAAATGGATGACTTTTGTCACTTTATACATGTAATTGCCTTTTAATGTTTTAACATAAAACACTGTCTTGTTTAACATTGTCAAGAGTAAGGTATTCGATATAGAAAATTTGTCTAGATAATTGCTTTAATTATGTATTACTTTGATATAGTTTTCTAAAGGGCATTATTTTATTTAGTAGCTTAGTTAGCCTTTATATCTAACTAAGTCATAGATAAAAATATCAATTAAGTTAATATGTCAAAAATCAATCACAGTCTCAGGGCTTATAACTTACTGGGGTTTGTATGGATCTTTAGCCAAAATATTAGATGAATTCAAACTCATACCCAGTTGGAGTTGTGTCTGCGATGTCCTCTTCCACTGCCAGGTGGTCACCTGTGGCCTGTGGCTTCTTAGTGTCTAAGTATATCTCCCTCACTGCAGTTTCCAACCTGTGTAGAAGGGATACCAGATAACTGAGCTTGTTAGAATTTGTCTAGGGTTAGAATTTGTGCATAGATTCTATGTGATTAAAGAGCTCTGCAATTCAGAAATCAGTTGCATTTGTATACACCAATAACAAAATATCAGAAAGCGATATTAAGAAAACAGTCCCATTTACAGTTGCTTCAAAAACTATAAAATACTTAGGAGTAAATTTAACCAAAGAAGTAAAAGACCTGTACTCAGAAAATTATGACACTGAAGAGAGAAATTAAAGAAGATACACTAAATGGAAACACATACCATGCTCTTGAATAGGAAGAATTAATATAGTTAAAATATCCATACTGGGGTGGGCCAAGTGGTGCATTCGTTAAGAGCTGGTTTGGGATGCCAGCTCTGAGCAGCAGGGCCCCGGTTCGGATCCCACATGAGGGCCAGTGACACTGCCCTCTACAGCTAAGATGGTGAACAATAGCTCGACCTGGAGCTGGGCTGCCGTGAGTCGCCGGTAACAGCATAGGCTGCAACCCCTGCTGCAGTGGGCTGCCATAAGCTACCATGTGTGGCCAGCAGCCAGCGTGAGCATTCGGCAGCTGGTGTGAGCTGCCAAGA